AATATTCTTGCCTGTTATGCATTGGTTCAGGGGCTGTGGTGGACTGGGGTGTGTACGATATATTATATGTAATTTAAATATATATATAAATCCCTTTACTTGCTGTAGGGAGTAGTGTGGCCTTTGATATCAGGGGAAGTTGTCTTGATGCACAGAACAATTGCTTTGCTTAAAGCTTAAACTGGTTATATAGCAAACCACACTAGCCAGGCATGCACCAGCCTAGAGAAGCACAATTGTTTTTGGATGGGGGATGTTTGTATATTCTGGGAACCGAACTACTGTGCTGTGAAGAGATTGTGACTTCCATTGGCTGAGGGAAGTGTGGCTTTCTTTGTTCTAGAAGGTCTAGGACATGATGCCAAATAAATCTTTTGCATGCTGGTTTTGTGTAGGCAAAGGAAGTATCCTAGCTGAAATTTGTTAGCTTTTATTGAGGTGCCTTTCAAGTATTTCCTTAATACAGTTGTACAAGAAGTTATTTGTCCTGATTTATAAAATTAATGCGTGTTTCATGCAGCAGTTAGAAGTCACTCCAAGAAAATTGGGACAATGAACTGCTTTTGAAATCTGAAAGTTTGTTTCAACCCCATTGAATGTAGGTCAAATGTCATCAGTACTGGCCAGAGCCCAGTGGAAGCTCCTCATACGGGAATTTCCAGATCACTTGCCATTCAGAAGAAGGAAATCCTGCTTATGTTTTCAGAGAGATGACATTGTGTAACTTGGAGGTGAGCCACAGAATCTCAGTATGATTTATCTTGAAACCTGGAAATTAAACTCATTTCACTGCAAAATTTCATTGTAGCAGTATTAAATTTACTTTTCTTTTTAGATTCCATAGAGAAATGGCTCACTGTATCACTATATCATATTTTTGTTCAAAACAAAAACATAATCAGGTTGAGTATCACTTATCTGAAGTGCTTGGGGCCATATATATATAGCTATTGCTATATACGCAAAATGACTAAAAAAAGTATATCAGTTCACCTCTTATATCTTTAAATGATACTTTTATAATGTCTCCTATTACTGCCACCTCATGTGTATAAACCATGGAATTGATTTTATAAATCCATAGTTCATTTAATTCGCTGTTATAATCCTCTTTGATGATTTTATATTCATTCTTCTGATGTGAAGCATGCAAATGTTATTTTTTATGATGAGTAGATAGATGCAAATATTTGAAACGGAGATAGGTTTGATTTTGAAAGGTAAAAATATTAGAGAGAGAGAGAGAGAGAATGTATTTAAATATTCAGTTGCATATGACCAAATTTTGTCTCATTAGAAAAATGAAAACCGTCAGCTCACTCAAATCCAGTACATCGCGTGGCCTGATCATGGGGTTCCTGATGATTCCAGTGATTTCCTGGATTTTGTATGTCTTGTCCGGAAAAAAAGGGCTGGCAGAGAAGAACCAGTTGTTGTTCATTGCAGGTATTTGGTTCACATGTAGAACTTGCTGTAGCTTCTTTCCCATGTTTTTAATTGCATTGGGGTAAAACAGACCTCCCCAAAGGGGTGGCATCAAGCCACTCCTGCCAAAGACAGATTAGAGCCATGGCAACTTCATGCCATGGCCCCAATCTGCCTTTTTACCGGCGGAAAAAGGAGCGGCAGAAAACTGCTCCCTTTTAAGCCGGCAAAAAGCCAGCTTTTCTGCCCTGCCGCAGACAGAAGCTGGTTTTACGGCGCTCTAGCAGCATGCGGCATGTAAACACTGCACCACCGGAGCGCCTGGAAGCCAGCCCACATCTAGGCAGTTTGGCAGCTTCCAGGCATCTTAGGGGCGTGCAGTGTCTAAACGCCATGCCCACAAACCACCAGGAAGCTGGCATTTCATGCCAATCTGTTCTGGCTCATTGTTACTTCACTTTATTACGTTCTTCATTTTCACACACAGTTCTAAATTCTTGTTTCTGCTAAAAAAAATAATTATTTGCAATTTTCTTTTGTCTTTCGTTGGATGAGAACAGATTTGCCCAATTGCCTCAAATCATGTTTTTCATGCCTCACAAAAATATGTCTTTTTGTGTCAATACATGTAAAAAGACTAGATTTGGAAGGAAACCTATTTAACAAGCTATAATAACCATGTATGTGAAATATGTGGCTTTAAAACAGTTAAATTTATTTTTCAAAAAACAGGCTGTTAGTGAGATATGTAACAAAAATGCATTGCATTATTCAAGACAGACCTACATTTTGTCACCTATATGCATACTTGTAGGATAATTTATGTTTTCTAAGGCTTCAGCCTTTAGTAGGCAAACAAAAATATTGAAATATCAAAAATATCAAAGCCAAGGCTGTAAAGGTGTAGATTTAAATCAGCACAGTAGCAGAAATGTGCCTTTGTCTAACTATGCTTCCTTAAGAACTGAGACTGACTCCAAAAACAACACAAGTGACCTGTAGTTCAAACAAAAGTTTACTATTGGCTTTAGTCTATATATACATAAGGGCTATATCCTAATTAGCTAGTGAATAGTTCATATTGAGAAGAAATATTTATCTCACCATCTTTCCAAAGAAAGCTGAGAGAGGAAGAAGATGGAAGACCAACAGTTCAATTGAAAATCTTTGTGATATAGTTGCTGTTATTCCCAAAGGGAGAGTGACCTAAATCACCTGGTTAATTTGAGCGAGAGAATGAGAGAGAAAGAGGAGTTTGCATGCCGGAAATCCTTATCTATCTAAGGAGGGGGAAAGATAATGCAGAAATCTTCCAGCAATACTGTTATATCAAATTAGTGTTACTTTCCTAACATAATGTTCTTTGATCCAACTGAGGCTTCCTTCCCTGGAGCTAGAAAGTAGGTGATTTTCAGTAATTGTGTCCTTGCATGCCGCTCTGTACACACTCCTTCAAAATCTGTTCCAGACTTTTTGTAATTCCATTAGAACAGGGGTTTTCACCCTATTGGTTCTCCAAATGTTTTGGACTTCAGCTCCCAGAATTCTTTGCCACAGGCCATACTGGCTTATGTTTCTGGGAACTGAAGTCCAGAGCAGTTGGAGGGCCAAAGGTTGAGAGTCACAGCTGGGCCAGGGAATCCCAAATAATCACTTGTTTCCTCATTTCACCCATGGAAGTATCTGCTCAATCAAAAAGCATTCTGTCAGTGATGTGATACCAGTTAGATGCAACTCACAGTTTTCTCACTCTTCCTATAGGCTAAAAGTCTGTTGTTTTTTACTCTTTATTATTGTGTCCCTGCTTGTGATGTGATATTTGGGACACATTTTTAAATTGTATTGTTTTAAATCTGCTGTTCACTCCCTTGAGTCCCTATATTGGCAAAAAGGCGGGATAAAAGGAAATACAGTCGTCCCTCCATATTTGCAGACTTGGGATTCACAAATTTGGTTATTCGCAATTTTACCGTGAGCCTCAACCACCTCCTCCCCTTACTTGGGATAGCTGCTTACAGCTACCCCAGAGAGGAAGAAGATGGACTTAGCTGGCTCATGGCTGCCCTGACCTTTCTCTCCTCCTTGAGATACCTGGCAGCAGCTATCCCAGGCAGGGAGAAGGTGGCCGGAGCTGGCACTGTTTGCAAATTTTCCGTATTCGCTGGGTTCTTGTTCCCTTAACCCCCGTGAATACAGAGGGACGACTGTAATAGTAATAGTAGTAGTAGTAGTAGTAGTAGTAGTAGTAGTAATAATAATAATAATAATAATAATAATAATAATAATAATAATAATAATAGAAGATCATCCAGTTTTTTAAATTTGGTATATTGCAGGGGTAGGCAACCTTTTTGAGCCAGGCCCCAGAAAAGCCATGGCAAAACCCCTGTGGAGATTTTGCCAAAAAAAACCCCTCAAGAACAAGTAATAACAACAATAATCAATATCATCATGGTGGGTGGCAGCGGTGGCGGCAGGACTGGCCTAGGGCCGGTCCAAAGGCTTCGGGGGGTCACATCTGGTCCCCGGACCTTGGGTTGCCTACCCCTGGTATATTATATAGGTTACAAAATTTCAAAAACGTATACTAGTCTATAATTTGGTTCTTAAATATTAGTGAAAATTTTAACCATTTTTTTTCCTGGCCAGCTTCAGTTTACAGTTCTGAGGACAAAAACAGTCAAAATCCATCATATTTAGTTTGGAAAATTCATTTTACTGAAGTTTCTACTGGGAGTCACATAGTCTAGTCCAGGGGTAGGCAACCTTTCCCCTTTAAGGGCCTTTAAGGGCCGAGGGACTTCAGCTCCCAGAATCCCAGGAGCTATTGGCCAACATGGGACTATTGGCCAATATGGCTGAGGCTTCTGGGAGCTGAAGTCCCTCGGCCCTTAAAGGGGAAAGGTTGCCTACCTCTGCTCTAGTCTAGTCTCTCTCCTACCTACCTTGCATCTGCATGGATCAGCTCTGATGCCCAGTAGTCTTCCTATGTAAGTAAACAGATGTAATCTTGGACACAGTGTTGAGGACCCACAAGATGTCAGTTCTGGAGAGTATCAACACCCATTATAAGACAGCTTTGTTTGGAGTTGCTCAGGAGTTTGTGACTGCTGTTGACAGCAACTATGGAACTGTTGCAGACTGTCACTGATCCAACACATGTAGCAAGGTGCACTTTGTATTTAGATTTCTCAGCTGTACAGAGAAAGGGTGCTCTGAAGGTGGGGACCTTTGAATTGTCTCCTTGTGGTCAGATCATCTCATGTTGAAATATAGATTAACAATTTCCTCCTGTCTATAAAGGAAGGAGACTTATCAAGATGGTCTAGCCCAGATGGTTTCTAGATTGCTCTGAGGGTTTTTCCGTTTAATAGGTTTGACTTCTCTGTTAATCTTTGGAATGGAGATTTGACTGTTCACACAATCACTTCCAAGTAACCTCTCTCATTTAACAGGGATCAGAAAGCCCCATGGTATATCCCAGAGCTGAGACCAATGAAGCAGAGTGGGAGAAGACTTCTGGAGAAGTGGAGCAAATCTCCCAAGCAAATACATATTTGAGTTTGCTAAGGAGAGCCAGTGAGGTGTAGTGGTTTGAATGTTAGACTATGACTCTGCAAACCAGTGTTCGAATCCCTGCTCTGCCATGGAAACCCACAGGGTGACCTTGGGCAAGTTACACCCTCTCAGCCTCAGAAGAAGGCAATGGCAAAAACCCTCTTAAGAAACTTGCCAGGAAAACTAAGGGTCACCATTAAGCCAGAAAGCACTTGAAGGCACACAGCAGCAGTGGTGGTGAAAGCAGTGGGGAAAAAAATCTTTTCTCTGCCTCTGTGCTCTCTTTATGGCATCAAGTGGAGCTTTTCCAGCCATTTCAAGACCTGTTATCTGTTGGTCCAAAAGAGGGCATAAAGCCACTCAGTATACTTATTTGTATGGTTTTTCAAAATAATTCTTATATATACTTTCGTGTACTCCTGGAAGTAGTTGTGGAGATAATGGCCTTTGTTGGATTAAATACAATTTGTGAAAGGGAACCTGTGATTTCTGTTCTTTTTGCCTCTATTATAGGTTATTGGTGTTCAGAGCCCCTTCCTAAAAGATTTTTATTGTTTTCCTCCCTTTCACCATGGAACACCCAGAGCGAGGAACAGGATGTTAGGTAGTGTTCTGAATAGTTGGGTTTTTTGTCCCTTATGCTCTGCTCTGTTGCTCTTTCTTCCCAGATTAGGAAACAACAGATTCTGTTGGTGTTGAAATCAATATGTTGTTTTTCCTTTATTTTTTCATGTGCTTGTAACCTTGATCTCTTGCTCCTGCCATCAGGGCCTATTTGCTATGTTGTGGTTTCTTCTTTTGACATGGTCTAATATCGGTCTGTATAGGCTGGTAGAAAAACAGTCATACTTTTGGGCAGGTGAATAAATCTGGATGGACTTTGGGCCCTTCCTACTTTATTCCCTTTCTCATTAATGATAAGCGGTGTTTCAGGTACCCTCTGATGCCACCTTCTGGACAAAAGCACAAATTAATTTGTTACCAACACTTCTGTATCAGATTAAAACAAAACAACAGCAGTTATGTAAAACAAGTCTCAAATAAATTAAAATTCAGACACTTGAACTTGCATAGTAGTCCTCTAGAATGTGTTGACTTCAGCATGTTATTCTTAATTGAAATTCTTCCTAATAGACTCAGTTTTTATGTGGTTTGACTCAGATGTTAATTTGCATTATTAAAATATTTAAATTAATACTCATAAAGCTTTTATTTTTTTTAAAAAAAAAAAAAGGTTTGGTATGTATTAAATAGCAAGCATAGATATGTTGTCTTAAGAATCTACCAGAGAAAATGAGGGGCACAGTGAAATGGATAACAAATCCCTAGGGGTTGCAATTATTTATTCATTCTTTCAGTTTTATTAACTGATAAACTGCTCCAACTATTTTGGGATTTTTGGATATTCCTGCTTCACCTACATAGCAAAAAAAACCCCAAAACATCAGGTTGGGTTGCTTTTGAGCCATGAGCATAATTTGGCAGTTTTCATGGGATGAAGGATTAATGCACACATTAATTGTCCTCAAATACATACATTCAGTTTATTAGAAAAGCTTTGCTAAGTCATGCTCATAAATATCAGGTCAGCAGTTGCTTTCTGCAGTTTTGGTTGTGCGAGCTACCCTGCAGAGTAGCAAAGCAAACTCCATGTTTTCCTTGCTAAATTCCTTAGAAGGCTCAGCAGATGCACTAAATCACATTACTTTTTTAGTGATGCATGTTGGATGTTTGGTGATGACTTTTGGTTTCTGCAGACAACTACTATTGTTGAAATGTAGACTATTTAACTTGTTTGGAGCTTATTTGGAAACAGATTTGTGAGACCCTCCACCAATGTTGGTTAGCTGTTCCTTTGCTTTTTTCCTTTTAAGTGTAAGCAACTACTTCAACGCCTAGTCCTTTCTTAGGAGGTAACTTTGTCTGAGCTGTACTGCTTTGAATCTTCCCATGCATAAAATAAAATCTCAGATGCCAGCCTAGCCTTTCCCTGATGTGCAAGAAAGATTTTTTTCCCATATGGAAGACTATTCAGATATGCAGTAAAGTGTGTGTACATTTTACTACTTTTTTGAGAACTAGGCCAGTCTCTAATGTGTAAATATTGTTTTATTATACCCAGTATATTCCTGTTGCTGCAGGCACAGTGTAATTTATTTTTAAGTAGAGAGAGGGTTTTAGGTGACCTAAAATTATAATAAATAAGAAAATAGTAACAGCTGTACTGTGTATGCATGAGGACAGCATCATAAACTTGTCTTATTTGGCCTAGTGGAAAACTGAAGCATGGGAGGAGGCAGGTTTTTCTTCTCTTTAGGTAGTGCCAAAGGTAGACCTCTAGTCTGCTGATTATTTGCCTTGTCCTTGCAGTGTTCTAGGGTTCTTGGAAAAGAATATTGAGCTGTGTGAACTTTGGTCTGCATCCGCTGAGGTGGAATTTACATTCTGAACCAAAAACACATATTCCACATCACCAAGAACAAATTATTTCTACTATAACTCTTAAATTGATCTTAACTATGAACTCTTGCATTTTACATTATAAACCTATTAGTGTGTGATGTGGTCATATACAAACAGGAATGTTTGTAAGCATGTCAGCAACCAAATAGACTATGTAGATCTGAGTTAGCCCACTGCTCTAAAGCATAGTATATAAAGCATTTGTCTAACAACAGCACACCTAGGAGATTACACATTGTGTGATGTGGTCATATACAAACAGGAATCTTCCTAAAGTAATCTGTGTATGAATAAAAGAACACTGCATCACATGCATCTTCAACTCTTACATTGACATTTAAGACAATCTGGCCAGCAATGTGTTCAAAAATTTTTAAGATCCTATTTAGAAAGCAGAAAATGTTTTCAATATGATCTTGAAAGGAAAGGAAGAAGGGAAGGAGAGGGAAAAGTGGGGATTAAAAAATAGAACAGCACCTTTAAGACTAACTGGTTTTTGTTTGAGTGTGAGCTTTTGTGACTATAAACGAACACAGCTACTTCTTTGAAAACTACTACATTGGTGAAATACAGCAATACCTCACTAACAAAGTAGGTGTGTTCCTGGAGATTACTACTTTAACAGAAGATTTGATACCAGAGGGAGAAATAACATGGAAAGAATAGGGATAGGTTCACAAAAAAAAGAACAGTTCTTCAGTATGTTTCAACAAACTTTCTATACAAAAATAAAAATACACAGATATGATGTGAAACAACCAGTTCAAGTCATCCTTGCTCAAGTAGCCAAAAAATATTTTGAACTTTCTAAAGACCACTTGAAGGCTTCTTCCAAAAGGTATCCAGGGATTACTTATTTCACTAGCTTCCACTTTTTTATGTTTTCCACTGCTGGAGGCAGTTAGTGAGACAGACTTATCTCACTAAAGAGCTCTCTCCTCTTTTCTCTCTATCAATTTTGTTCACACATGCTCTGTAAGCCTTATTGCATGATAAAAGAAAACAGAAACCGATTGGAAGAGTAGCGGTTTTCTCCTTGCCTCTCCTCATGCTGTTGTATCACTTTTTTTCTCCTTCCCAATGGAAATGGATGTAAAAGTATGCCTTTTGCCAAATGATACAAAAGATACACTTTTATGACTTTCCCTCTGGAAGAGAATGGAACTGCTACAACGGCATCCAGAGAGGCACTGCTACTCTTTCAGTCTGTTTTGGCTTTCTTTTCTTATGCAATAAGGCTCTAAGTGACTCTGGAGTTAGCTGCTGTTTGGCTTGTCTGTTGTAGACAGGCACACCCGGTTACAGTAGGATCAGCCAGAGTAGAATCCTGTTCCCAGTTCAAGCTTTCATTCATTGTTTAATGTGGACATGTTGCTGCAACCCAACACTAAAAATCTCTGTTTCTCCAGCCTTCCTTCACCATCCTCCCAGTGCCAGTGCTGTTAAAGAAACCTCTAGCTAGACAGAGGACAAGAAGGAAAATGAGGGCTGGGGGCGTATAAAGGAACCTCTTTGTCAAAGGCTTTATTGATAGAGGTATGCCTGTACTGAAGTTATGAATTTGTGAGAAACCAGTACAGTACGAAGCATTTCCCAGGAAACTGTGACATGCTCTCATTATTCCTAGTGGATCTTCTGGATTATAGTGAATGTGTTGGGGAAAATACTATTTACAGTTTCCGTTATAATATGTTTGACAAAACATTTGCTATGGACCTAGGAATTATATTCACTTATTTTGTGCAAGATTGGGTGATTGTTGTTGTTTTTGGCAGCTGTTGTACCGGGGGGAGATAACAATCCAATCTAAATCAAAATTGTATGGATTTTTGTAAATTACATACATATTTACATGTTTGAAAAATACTAAATATGATAAACATAGTAACCCTTTTTTTAAAATCTTACAGTGCTGGGATTGGACGAACAGGCGTTCTTATCACTATGGAAACAGCTATGTGTCTTATTGAGTGTAGCCAGCCTGTTTATCCCTTGGATATTGTGAGAACAATGAGAGATCAAAGGGCCATGATGATCCAAACTCCTGTAAGTAGCATTTGTTTCCAATAACACTCATACCTGGTCTGTTTGAAAGGGCTGGTATTATTAAGTGTGTGCTTGCACAGTACTTTGTACAACTATCAAGTGTAAATTTTAATGTAATCATTCAGTTTTGTATTACATAGATTTATGTAGCTAGTATAACACTATCTCCCAGTAAGACATGATTTGCAAACTGGAAATGAACTTTGTGAACATGTTCAAAGGACTTGTATTTTAATAGAAAATCATTTCGTCATTTGAGGTGCTGAATCACCTCTGTGGACTGTTTATCTTCACTTTCTTCTTCCTTCTTTGCTGTAAGTTCTATATTTAAAAAATGCATATATTTTTAAAAATTCTTAAATAACTATGAATTTAAAGAAAATAGTATTTTCTTAGTGTGTTATTGACACATAATTTAATAAGAAATACTGTTTTAAAAGCACAATAAAGTAAATTGTTTGAGAAAGTAATAAACAATTGCTGCATTTCAGGGACCTGAAAAAAAGCAAGTCGTATGAGGTCTTTAGAACAAAATTTGATGAGTTGGATCCAAACTTTATCATACATAGGGCAGACCCAT